TTGATGAACCCGTTTCAGTTATATTACCTTCCAAACGCAGAGAGTTTTATCATGATCATTATCGTTGGTTCAGCCCACACCCTTAACCCGCTAGCTGACAGTGATTGTGCCAAAAGATAAGCAGATGTAAATATATTTTCCCTCACATTTAAGAGCAGGCAGAGTGCCTTTCAGCTAGCATTTGTAACAAGAAACGTTTGCCTCAGCTTCTCGTGTTTATTTCATTACACCTAAGGCGTTTTATTCCCTCCCTCCCTGCATCGAGTGTGCGGCGTCAAAACCATCCTTGGGGCGAATGGGACGTCTCTTCTACCTGCTCAGCGCCTCTACGAAGGGCTTACATTTGACTTAATATATCCCCAACTGTACCAGTCCTGTTTGATTCCCTTTCATAGCAGTCAGAGGTGACCAGGGACGAGCAGATTGAGCCCTTCACGTCTCTCTCGGCTTTACGTGGCTCAGTCGGGAAGAACAAACCTCGGAGAAACAATGGTGCGCTAAAGAGAATAATTGATACTTCCAAACCCCCTAAACAAAAGTAAAACACATTGAGTAAATATTGTCACCAGCGACCAAGGTGGACATTGGCCATGAGCAGAGCTTCTGGTGTTTGGAGGTCAGCGGAGTTCATGCACCGCCCCACTTCCTGATTGGTGCGAATCTGCGCGAAGTTAATGATGAATAAAGATGAAATTTTGACATGCTTGGCTGACTATATGATTACAGCATGCTGTAAAGCCAAAGGGAGGGGGCGTTCGGAGACGTTTTGCCCTTTGAAACTACACACTTTGCTCCAAAAGACTCATAAACTTGAATCTGTCGTGAATCACCCTGCTTTTAAACAATATTTGTTCCTGATTAGCTTCCAACAGGAAGTCATTCAATACGCTGACATTGGCCCGCTCAATGGATTCATCATTTGCCTTTCAGATTTGGCATTATGATTTAATTGCTCATTGACTAAACAATTAGAGGTGGAATTCCATATCCTTGTATATCTTTATTTGCGGTATGCATACTAACAAATTGTAATCAATATGCCATTACTGTTGTGAGTTTGCATACCGTATGGCGAATACAGAGTTGTGCATCCGTGCCAGTATACAAATGAACCTCGCGAGGGCTTTGGGGGGTTGCCGGCATGAATTTCTCGTGGAATGATCTTTTTTCACTTCGAAAATCCTTTCTAATTAAGAAGAGTCCCAGCATATCACAGGGCAAGGGGTGGTGCTGGGGGTGTCTGCGAGTGGATATGTGGGGTCGTCTAGCATGAGCGCTAGTCAAATGAACAATGTATTCCTCAGGACCTAAGGGTTTTGAGGCAGGCTACATCCCGGCCCTAGTGCACACTAAGGCTGTTTCATGAAAAAAAAGAGAAAAAGTTGATAATTAGTCCCACAGTGGCTAAATGTTGAGATAGAAAATAAGAGTGCTTACCATGCGATGCTTCAACCTGACTGGATAACTGCTGCTTGTACGTTTTTTTTCTGCTTTTTTCAGTCTCTGTCAGCAGGGCATGATTAAGCGTTTCTCGTTGCGGATAAATTAAACAAACATGTTAATTCTCTCCTCGCAACCGGCCTCTCTTTTGCTCGGGGGGGAAAGAGATCAAGCCATTGTTATCGATCAGTCGACTCTTTTAACCCATCCCCATGCTTCCTTTTTAATGTTCAAACGTGGCCACAATAATAAGCAATTATAATTTGACTTTTTTTTCTAATGTCTATAATTAGTCTGAGAAAGACAGAGTGCAGTTCCCTCGCAGAAATATGGAACAAGACAATATAGTAACTTTTGGAAGTTCAGTCAATCGGATCATTCAGCTTCTGAAATTATTTATTGTTATTAGACCAGGCAGACAGATGGATGGATGGATGGATGGATGGATGGATGGATGGATGGATGGATGGATGGATGGATGGATGGATGGATGGATGGATGGATGGATGGATGGATGGATGGATGGATGGATGGATGGATGGATGGATGGATGGATGGATGGATGGATGGATGGATGGATGGATGGATGGATGGATGGATGGATGGATGGATGGATGGATGGATGGATGGATGGATGGATGGATGGATGGATGGATAGATAGATAGATAGATAGATAGATAGATAGATAGATAGATAGATAGATAGATAGATAGATAGATAGATAGATAGATAGATAGATAGATAGATAGATAGATAGACAGATAGACAGATAGAGAGAGACAGGCAGACAGACAGCCAGATAGATAGATAGATAGATAGATAGATAGATAGATAGATAGATAGATAGATAGATAGATAGATAGATAGATAGATAGATAGATAGATAGATAGATAGATAGATAGACAGACAGACAGATGATAGAGATAGATAGATAGATAGATAGAAAGATTGATAGACAGACAGACGGATAGAGATAGATAGATAGATAGATAGATAGATAGATAGATAGATAGATAGATAGATAGATAGATAGATAGATAGATAGATAGATAGATAGATAGCTAGATAGATAGATAGATAGATAGATAGATAGATAGATAGATAGATAGATAGATAGATAGATAGACAGGCAGACAGACTGACGGATAGAGAGATAGAGATAGATAGAAAGATTGATAGACAGATAGATAGACAGACAGACGGATAGAGATAGATAGATATACAGACAGATAGAGATAGATAGAGAGACAGACAGACAGACAGACATACGGATAGAGATAGAGAGACAGACAGACAGACAGACAGACAGACATACGGATAGAGAGATAGAGATAGAAAGATTGATAGATAGATAGATAGACAGACAGACAGACAGACAGACAGACAGACAGACAGACGGATAGAGATACAGACAGATAGAGATAGATAAATAGACAAACATACAGACAGGCAGACAGATAGAGAAAGACAGATAGATGGACGGACAGACAGATAGATAGATAGATGGATGGATAGATAGACAGACAGACTTCATTGTTTGTTTACTTCTTTCCACAAGGTCTAAATTGTCTGGAGCTGGAGAATTGTAATTGGTCATCTTCCGGTTAACCCCTCCCCCTCCTACAGTATGTCCTGATTGTGCCTGCTGGTGTCACCCAGGGGTCAAACATCCTCACCAGCGCCATGAAGGACTCACAGCTTGTTCTACAGACCTCATTACATCGCTGCTTCTACAGTCACTTCACCCCCTCCCCTCCCTCTCTTTTTTGTCGGCCAAGGCAGTCTCGATTCTTTTTAGGGAAAGGCAGAGAAGTGTCAGCTGGCTCATTAGATATGGCTGGGTGGGTCCGAGTGCTTTCACAATCGTTCGGACCCCAGCAGTCTCCATCAGGAGGGACTAGAGTGGGATGACCATGCTCCCGTTCAACCCCGGGTCAAAGGGATAAATAAAAGATCACATGAGGTGGCCCCTCAAAACCTGATTAAATAGAGCCACACGCCAGGGATTCATTAGCAGCTCCTGCCGCCACAGATCATCTACACCCTCATCTGAAACACAAGAACACATGCAGCTCGTCTCAACACATTAGCACACCATAAATTAAAGACAGGACCAGGAAAATGTCCAAATTTAGAGCATAAAAAGTCTCATGGAAAAACTAAGACTAACTATATATATGTGTGCATTTATAGACATATACATAGCAGCCTTAATAAGTATAAGGGGCTTAATTCAAAAACATTTAAAAAAATCTTAATTATTCCAAACTTTTGACTTTTCTCGCTTAGCTCGGTTCATTTAGGCATATATGAACAGTGCAATCAAGCTCGGATACGCCTGAACGAGGTGGTCTCTGCCCGATTGCAAACCAATTCTGGAGCGGTGAGAAAGCAATCCGACGGACCAAACAGTATCATAATTCATGTGTTATATAAAAAGCAGCAGTGTCTGATTCTGTAAGTGAGTGCATTCTCTTCATCTTAAAATGTTATGTAATTGCTTTTCTATGTGCATTTCAAGAAAGCTGTCCTGGCGAAGCCTTGCTCTAATGGCATTATATAGGCTACAGTATAATAATGCGGGAATGGCGGCTACATCCGTATAGTGTTTGCGTGCGTGTCTGTCAACAGGTACAAATAAGCCACAGTAAGCTCATGGAGCGAACTTGTCAATCATCTTTATGGATGACGCAGAGGAAACAGACCAATAAGAGGACAGATTTACTCACAAGTGACTTACATAAACACATTTTGGTATGATTTGAATGGTTTCCTGGTGAAAACGAACCGTACCAAGAAAGTGAAACAGTGAAACAAATGCTGATCTGCTGATGTGAAAACGCCCATAGCCCTCAATGGGGTCATGGGGTCTATACAACCCCAATCGACTTTTACTTAATAAAAAAAAGGGATCATCTCTGTGGAATAAGATTTTATGACTTTTCATACATTATCTATCTATACACACACAAAAACTGGGCTTGATTCAGTTGTTCTGAAGGTATGTAAAAAAAAAATGTTTACACTTCAGGTCTTCGGGGTCAACATGACCCCACATTGAAATGAATGGGAAATGTGAAAAAAAATCATATATTTTCAAAAAACAAAAAAATCCATCTGACCATTTTTGCACAGAAATGAAGGCCTATTACTAGAGCACAATAAAAAATAATATTTCATATGCAAGCTAATGGTGTAGTTAAGGAATTGTGTGGTATATGGATACAAAAGTACTTTATATCTCCAAAAACACATAATTAATGAATAGATGAGAAGTAAACAAAAAAAATGATATATTATTTGAACGATTAAAAATGTACAATTACTCAATCAATTGTTGGGGTTGTGTAAACAGGAAACGAAGACCATTTGAAGGTTAAATAACCATACAATGGTCTTTATCTCATCTTGGTGGTGATGGCGCAATGGATAAGACACATGCCTTTGGTGTGAGAGACCCAGGTTCGAATCCACTGTGAGGCGTGCGACCTCTCACATATATAGCAATTGTAAGTCGCTTTGGATAAAAGCGTCAGCTAAATGTTCATCTTTTTTCAGACGTCAAGAACCTGGAGAACTTCCACCTGGTGGAGAGCGTCCAGGAACAGGTCAACGCCGCGCTGCTGGACTACGTCATGTGCAACTATCCGCAGCAGACGGACAAGTTCGGCCAGCTTCTGCTGCGGCTGCCAGAGATCCGGGCCATCAGTCTGCAGGCGGAAGAGTACCTGTACTACAAACACCTGAACGGTGACGTGCCCTGCAACAATCTACTCATAGAGATGCTGCACGCCAAACGTGCCTGAGGACCTTCTCGTCTCGACACATCGCGCGCACTGCTCCCAGCTCCACCTCAGCCCAGCGTCATCACCAGACATAGCCTTCCAAAGACCAGATGCGCATGGGTTTGGATCTTATGGAGAGGGCACGGTAATACCTGAAAGCGGTTTGGCTCGAAGGGCAGATGCATTTCTGATAAAGAAATGAAATGAAGTGTTGTAATGACCTCTAGGCCGCGGATTTGACGTAGTGTTGTCGAACCATGACTGTCAGTCGATATTTGTTCTGTGTGCAGCTGATCGAAACGTCCACTTTACACTCAGACTCAAGGTGGAGGGTTTTGGATTACTAGGAAGGAACTGGGCTCTCTTTTAAGACTGGTTTGCCAGCATTGACCCAAAGTTTCCATTAGGACTGGCCATGTGACCCTCCTCTGTCTGTTTTAAGGCACACAAGCTGGGCTAGAGCCAGTAGGCGGAGGGAAGACGGACAACCAGCCATCGCCTGCGCAAACCACAAAGACTTTATTCCACAATCCCTCGCCCCCCAAAAAAAACAACAACAAACAAACAATAAAACGACGTAACGCATTTCTTTCTTTTTTTTTTTTTTAAATTGGCAGTCGTTACTTTTGCTTTGTCATTTTTTGAGGCTGCTTTTTGCCAATGTTTTCTCTCCAAAAGTGGAAAAAGGGTGAATATCACAAATCCTGTCGAGAACATGTCCGGGTATTATTTCATTCATTATTTCGCATTCATTTCAAAATCATAAGAAAGAAATGAGAAATTATATTTTGCGTAAAGAAAACGACGTCTAATATTTGGACCAACATTGCAATAAATAAATAAATAAATGATGAATTATTTCAATTGTACAGTAAAGTAATGAATAAAATGTAAGTAATTCATAATAAAAAATTATTTTGGAGGTACATGTGCTGAATTGTCATGACATAATTATTAAAAAGTAAATGATAAATGAGAGTTAAAATGCTAAATTGTCATGAAAATAAGAATTAACAGTTTACAATTCAGTTTTAGGTAAATTATATTGACATAACTGATAAAGAATTAAAGGTTACACTTTATTTCGATAGTCACTTTAGACATTCTACTAACTATAAGTAACTTTTCAACTACATGTCAACTAACTGTCATTGGAGTATTAGTAGACTGTAGTAGACTGTCCAACACTATCTCACGACCAATTCGTACGAATTCGACGCATGATTAAAAAGTGTCTAATTCGTACGACCTCACTCGTACTAATTCGTACGATTTGTCTAAACCCACGTGATGGTTAAGTTTAGGGGCGGGGTAAGGGGTAGGTCATTCGTATGAATTCATACGAATCGGCCAATTCGTAAAATATGTACGATTTAGCAAAATCGTATTAATTCGTACGAGTGAGGTCGTATGAATTGTCACGAGTTAGCCACTTTTTAATCATTCGTCGAATTCGTACGACTTGGTCGTGAGATCGGGTTGGACTGTCAGGTTAGGGTTAGGTGTTAGGGTTCAGGTTAGGAGAACAAGTTGACTTGTAGTTGCTAAGTTACTTATAGTCAGTAGAATATCTGTTGGGGGACCAACAAAATAAAATGTTAGCAGATATTAAGCAGACAGTCTACTGATACTCTAATGATAGTTAGTTGACATGTAGCGGCAAAGTTACTAATAGTTAGTTGAATGTCTAAAGTGGACTATCAAAATAAAGTGGTACCGAATTAAATAGCTCATTCGTAATAAAATGTGATAAATAATAATTCATACATATGAACTATTTTATGAATTTAATTAAGGCAAAAATATAAAACAAAAATAATTTCTCATTTTTAATTCTTTGATTTGGGAAAAAAAACATTTACCTCACAACACACCTTTTTTTGTAACATTTTGCAGTTTGTTCATCAACAAATGTGAATGTAAATAAAGTGCAGTCCCAGAGCCAGGATGAAGAAATGCCACCTCCGTCAACAAGACCAAAGCCTGCAGAGAACAAAAAACTAAGAAAAGAGAAAAAAAAAACAACCTTAACTATCAGTATTAATAATTTGTGATGTCACAGTCATGTGAGTCTTGCCTTATTTCATTTCCATGCTAGCTAACCGTGCTGATGTGAATTACGATATGTAAAATAAAAAGTACATATATATATATATATAAAGTATTAATGTTATACAATTGAAAAGAAATAAGAGGTGTTTACATTCATCTGGGAGATAACTGTGATGCGTTCAATTGCAAAGCAATGATTTCATATAAAAACGAAACAAAATGTTCAGAAAAGATTATATTCCTCTTGTTTGCTTTCTTAGGTGTGTACAGTTTTCATCTTTCTTGACCAGTACTTAATTATGTCGTGAGACACTAAATCAGAGAGGAATCTCACTTAATACTGAGTTTTTACTTTTTTATTTGATTGTGCTGGCTTGTTTCTGTGGACGCCTGTTTTTACGTTCTACGTTTGAAATGTACGTCACTGGTTAAGCTTAATTTATTGTTTTGGTTTCATCCATGTGTTCCTGCACAGTGCGGTGGGGTCATGACTAAATGTATTTGTTTACTGTAGCACGTTTTTAAAAATGTAGATACGAGATGCAGTTATGGAGCTAAATGGTGATTGAGTGATTCACATTAAACACCCATCAGTCCTGCCACTGTAAAATATCAAAAGCTGTACTGAAGTGATCTGGTGTGACTGACTGGTGCATCTTTTCTATCGTGAGATTTCAATGAATGTTTTCATGATAGCGTCTGTGTTCTATACCAAAGACAGCGTCTGTCCTTCACTTGTACTTGCCTGTTTGCTTCACAATGAACGGATGAGAGCTTTGATACTTGGGGACTGCCGTTGTTTTTCCTGAAGCCTTCATTGAACTGTATTATAAAAAAAATGGTGTTAAAGTCAACATGAAATCAAAATGAATCCAATTTATTTCCTTAATACACTATCTTGGTCTTGTGCACAATTTATCAAGGCGTGTTATTTCACACAAAAAGATTTTTTCTTCGTAATCGAACTGCCATTATAGGGCAGAAAATAATGTTAAGAATTAAATTATAAAGACGAAAACAAAACAAATAAATTGAAAGCGAAACAAATGAATGAAAGCAAAACAAAATCAAATGAAAGCAAAACAAACTAGTGAAAGCAAAACAACAAAAGCAAAACAAAAGCAAATGAAAGCAACGCAAAACAAAAGCAAATGAAAGCAAAACAATCAAATTGAAAACGAAACAATTGAATTAATGCAAAACAAATGCAGATGAAAGCAAAACAAACTATTGAAAGCAAAACAAACATGAAACAAAAGCAAATGAAAGCAATGCAAAACAAAAGCAAACGAAAGCAAAACAATCAAATTGAAAGTGAAACAAATGAATGAAAGCAAAACAAAAGCAAATGAAAGCAAAACAAACTATTGAGAGCAAAACAAATGAAAGCAAAATAAAAGCAAATGAAAGCAACGCAAAACAAAAGCAAAGAAAGCAAAACAATCAAATTGAAAGCAAAACAAATGACTGGAAGCAAAACAAAAGAAAGCAAATGAAAGCAAAACAAACTATTGACAGCAAAACTAACAAATTAAAGCAAAAAAAAGCAAATGAAAGCAACGCAAAACAAAAGCAAGCATAAGCAAAACAATCAAATTGAAAGTGAAACAAATGAATGAAAGCAAAACAAAAGCGAAATGAAATGCAAAACAAAAGCAAATGAAAGCAAAACAATCAAATTGAAAGCGAAACAAATGAATGAAAGAAAAACAAAAGCAAATGAAAAGAAAAACAAATTATAGCAAAACAAACATGAAAGCAAAACAAAAGCAAATGAAATGCAAAACAAAAGCAAACGAAAGCAAAACAATCAAATTGAAAGAGAAACAAATGAATGAAAGCAAAACAAAAGCAAATGAAATCAACGCAAAACAAAAGCAAGCGCAAGCAAAACAATCAAATTGAAAGCAAAACAAATGAATGAACGCAAAACAAAAGCAAAACAAACAAATTATAGCAAAACAAAAGCAGTAAATAATTAAGATTAACATTTACATAATAAACGGTACTGTAACAATAGAAACCTTACTATTATCATACATCAGGGGGATTTTTTTTTTGTTTTTTAAACAAACTTGACCTTCATTTCCCCATAAAAGTGGGTGCTGGTGGTTTATAAAGGGAGTAGTTTCCCACAATCCATTGTAAACTTACATTCAGCTCCATTTTGGCATGTAACAGACACTTTTTTAAAACCAAAATGTCTCGCTTTACATGGATCTGATTGAATAACCTGCTGCACATGGAAATATGTCACAATAAGGAAGTAAATTGGGTCGTAAATATCATTTCGTGTTGACTTTACTGAATCTGAGGTCAAAAAGTATCAACACAGTAAAAAACACAGCTGAGGTGACTGTAACACCTGAAGCTAAATGTCATGTGTTGATTTAAAGAGCAATGAAAATGACTTGATATCCCAATCATCAAATGCTTTTTTTTAAGGATAGGGATCTTTCTCAGTTTACACACCTTAACGATGTAAATTCTTTCAGACAACAATGGTGTAAAAAGTTTTTTTTTGTTTTTTTTACAAGCACAACTGCTTTGATCGACATTTGCTGCATGGCATCTACGCCCCCATTTGTACATTAAGCCACTTCTTTATCGATTCTAGGAAAACTGATTTGTATTTGCTTCGTTTTGTGACTCTACTGTGTTGTGTGTGATCAGACCGACAATCTTAAAGGAATCCAGTGCCCCTCGTTCCCATTTTGTTCCCCGTCACCGGAAGTCCTGCAGCTGCGTTGGATGTCTGCTTACCTGCCTGAATGTCTGGATTGGGATTCTCTTGTTTGTGCGCTGGAAGCCGCAGTCAGGCCCGCATCTCTGATGTCACCTCTTGCCATAAAGAGTTTCCATACAAGCTCTTGGAATCTTTCCATCATATTTTAATAAATGACTATTATGCCAACAGTCGTGATTTTATTTCATATTCTGGCAATAATCCATGATCAGTGAACAATAGTTTCTTCCTGATACAAAGATGAACAGATTCACACTTGATACCGTGAATGTTCAGATTTCTAATCAGATTCAAGAAAGCAACACGTACCTGATCCTGCTACACTCTCATTCACATATAGTGTGCAGACATAACTAAATAGAAATAGAATCGTTTCAGCTTATTCAAGATGAAACCTGTACAAAATAGCATTAAGTTAGTTTTTCACAAATGAACATATTTAGATATGCTTCAAAGCATGTACACGATATGTTGAAACATTTACAGACTATCTGCACTTTACCAAAACACAAGATGTAGAGAAGTTTCAATAAAGACACATGTGGGCGTTCTGCTGAGGAGGTGACATTCCTTCGGCCTCCATGGGTACGTTCAGACTGCATTCGTTTGGAAGACTGTTTTTAGGTTTCTTCACGTTCTCCTGAAAGAATAAGAACAAAAAATAGTAGAAGTGCACTTTTACTTTTAAAAAGACTTAGATTATTTATGAAAATAATATACTATTCAAACTGGGATCTGAATGTAATGTTTTCAGACACAATTGTGTGGGAACTGCAATTCAATTAAAATGTGTCATAGTTCAAATTTATATTAAAGGAGTAGTTCACTTTTAAAAAAACTTTTGCTGATAATTAACTCACCCCCATGTCATCCAAGATGTCCATGTCTTTCTTTCTTCAGTCGAAAAGAAATTAAGGTTTTTGATGAAAACATTCCAGGATTTTCTCCATATAATGCACTTCAATGGGAACCAAACGGTTCAAGGTCCAATTGAGAGTTTCAGGGCAGCTTCAAAGGGCTTTAAACAACACCAGACGATGAATAAGGGTCTTATCTAGTGAAATGATCGCTCATTTAATAAATAAATAAATAAGTTTAAGTTTTATAAGCACAAATGCTCGCCTTGCTCTGTTCTGTGATGAGCGTTCGTGACTCTGTTCGAACTCGTTCATCAAAATGAACAAATCTTTTTTCGAGTCATGACTCAAAGGGTCCAAGATAAGACCCTTATTCATCGTCTGGTGTCGTTTAAAGCCCTTTGAAGCTGCACTGAAACTCTCATTTGGACCTTGAATCGTTTGGTTCCCATTGAAGTCCATTATATGGAGAAAAATCCTGGAATGTTTTCATCAAAAACCTTCATTTCTTTTCGACTGAAGAAAGAAAGACGTGGATATCTTGGATGACATGAGGGTGAGTAAATTATCAGCAAAAGTTTTTTTTAAAAGTGAACTACTCCTTTATATGCAATTACTTGAAACCAAATCAAAATGTCATTATTCTCACTCAAAAACGGCATTTCTACATTAGGTATTATATTGTTCAGTTCAGCAAAAAGTACTGAGTTGAACCAAATTCTTCACAAAAACAGGTCTGAGCCGTTTTACTGTAAATCTAAAATAGACTGTGCAGACAGCATACATTCGGGGCAAGAGCCCTAAACCAACACGACCGCACGACATGCTGAAGCCCTTCATTTAGAGAGGCGGCTTGCTGAGAGACTGTGAGAACAGATTCATTCAGACCGCTTCAATCCATCAATACGCTATCAGTCACAGACAACAAGAGATTAAGATTGGATTATTTCACCACGATGAGTAAATATATCCTGGAAGTAAATTGCACTCTTCAACAGACCCTTGTGAAGTAGAAGTACACTTTAGCATCATTTATTCTGGAAATAATATACTTTAAAATAATAGACTGTACTTAAGAGCAAAATGGATGTTTTATTCAGACACTTAACTGAATTGTGAATTGCAATTAAAATGAAAATATCAGTTTAAATTTACATTAAATGCAATTAGTTGAACTTCAGTTGCAACTTGAGTGGGACTTAATCTTTATATGTAATGTCATAATTACTGTAGTTGAAATATTAGTTAAAGTGTACTGCCGAATATACCAATAAGCATTTATGATAATGTAATTTCTGTCATGTATTTAAATATTCTTGCAATTACACAATATAATGATTATGTACTGTAACTAAGTAGCATGAAAAAAGATCATTTAAAATTATTGGCCATATCGATATCTATATATTTTTTTAATATCATTATCGGCCCGGAAAAAAAATTGGCCGATATATTAAAGCCGATAAATAATAGATTATTTACTTCAGCTGAGACACTTTGGATGCGCACTTTTACAACAAGATGGTTTTTAATTGCTTGAAATATGATTGGAATCATATATAAAAATGAAAATACAGTTAAGCGCAAGTCATAGAACTTAATTCGTATTTGGGACATGGCTTCTAATGGTGAGATTTTTGTTTTTGTAATCAGGCTCTCAAAAATTATATAAAAACTTTGGCCGATATATCGGTTATCGGCTTTCAAATATAAAGAATTATCGGTACTTCAAATACTTCAAAGTATTATATAAAAACTTCGGCCAATATATCGGTTATCGGCTTTCAAATATAAAGAATTATCGGTACTTCAAATGTACTTCAAAGAATTATATAAAAACTTCGGCCAATATGTCAGTTATCGGCTTTCAAATATAAAGAATTATCGGTACTTCAAATGTACTTCAAAGAATTATATAAAAACTTCGGCCAATATGTCAGTTATCGGCTTTCAAATATAAAGAATTATCGGTACTTCAAATGTACTTCAAAGTATTATATAAAAACTTCAGCCAATATATCGGTTATCGGCTTTCAAATATAAAGAATTATCGGTACTTCAAATGTACTTCAAAGACTTATATAAAAACTTCGGCCAATATAACGGTTATCGGCTTTCAAATATAAAGAATTATCGGTACTTCAAATGTACTTCAAAGTATTATATAAAAACTTCAGCCAATATATCGGTTATCGGCTTTCAAATATAAAGAATTATCGGTACTTCAAATGTACTTCAAAGAATTATATAAAAACTTCGGCCAATATATCGGTTATCGGCTTTCAAATATAAAGAATTATCGGTACTTTAAATGTACTTCAAAGTATTATATAAAAACTTCAGCCAATATATCGGTTATCGGCTTTCAAATATAAAGAATAATCGGTACTTTAAATGTACTTCAAAATATTATATAAAAACTTTGGCCAATATATCGGTTATCGGTTACCGTAATTGTAATATTCAATAACATATCATTAATTATGAATTCCAGAACCTCGTCACTGTAAAAAAAGAAAAAAAGTTGCTGCCTTAAATTTTGAAGTAGAATCAACTCAAATTACATTAAACTGACTTTAAAAAGGTTGAATCTTATATAAAGCTGTATAAACTTATTTTGATGTTAAAGGAATGTAAAAAATATATGCTGAAATACATGCTGTCATAACTTATTGATCATATAATTTTTTACAGTGTACATATTTAATAATACCAGCCCTGTGTCTTTGATACAACCAGTAAAGGTCCATAAATAATGAGCATCCATCAATAAATAGACATCAGACCATGGTTATGTAGCGAGAAACTTTTAGCTCAGCTTAAAATACCGCTCGGAGGCCTTGACCCAAACTTCCCAACTACTGAAATGGACGAATTAATAGATGCATACTAAATAGGAGCAGTTAGATTGCTATGCTAAACCTCACCTCAACATGCGAAACAAATGTGGTGGGTTTGAAATGGAACACACCGAAGGTCACCGTCCTTTCATTTAAATGCATGTTTTATACATAAGTTTATATATAAAAAAAAGAAGGACCACAAAAGCACTAATGTGTATTTTCTATCCTTATTAGTCATGAGGAAAAGAAAAAGAAAAAAAAGAGAGAGATAAAAAAAAACTCTTTAAGCACCTGGACCTCGCTCTCAGCATTCCATTAATTACTCAGACAATGGCAACAACTTCAGAGGCAGATTTTTCAATTTCAGAGAGAAAAAGAGGCAGACAGACAGAGAGAGGGAAGAGAGAAGAGAAATGAAGGCAGGGAGAGGGGGAACGAGATAGATGGAGGGAGATGGAGAGAGAAACGCATGTATTCAGGCTCTTCATGCTATACCAGCACTTAAATCCAACGGACCTCCCATAAAAAAGACTCAAGGTTACGTCCGATTGAAAATCCTCACAAACAACCACTTCAGAAATCCATTTAGAGCCAGTGCTAGAACATCTAATTCAAACATGTTGTCCTGTTAAAATGGTCGCAGTTCCTCTAAAACTCTTTTTCTGCCGCTGCCGTTTGGCGATTAAATTTCCACATTCTGAAGCACGGACACATAATTACACAGGCTCAGAAATGCAGCCCAAACAGAAGTTCAGACATGAAAAATGACCTCTTATTGTCATAAATGATAGGCCGTCTTGCCAAGAGTAATTTGTAACAATACCTCCGCTCGCAGACTCGCAGTTCAACGAAACGGCCAATGGAACATGGCCTAGATCTTGGAAAAACTGGTTTGTAGGTAATAAGAGTTCAATAATGTGTGTATATATATGTATGTGTGTATACAGTATATATGTATGTGTGTATGTATACATACCAATAAGCTCACTTATTTCTTCTTGAAATTTTAAAGTTTAAATTGCCATAATTTCCTTGCTGTTCCAAATCCATTGATGTGATTGATTTTGATTGATTTGATTGATCCAATGATTATGAAGAATGTTTACGCTAGTTTTTTTGTTTTTTTTCATTTAATAAAATACATACTCCATAAAGTAGTTCATATTTATGTTATTGGTTACAAACATGTAAGGACCAATGTTAACTACTAAAACTACAAAAAATGTTTTTGTAAATTGAACTAAATCTGAAATAAGTTTAGTAGCCTATAAATTAGATGAAAAAGTTAAAGGGATACTCCACTTTTTTTCTTTCTTTTTTTTGGAAATAGGCTCATTTTACAACTCCCCCAGAGTTAAACAGTTGAGTTTGACCGTTTTCGAATCCAGCCGATTTTCTGATATTTAGAAGAATATCAGTAACTTTTTTCCTACTATGGAAGTCAATGAGACCAGAAACTGTCTGGTTACTGATATTCTTCTAAATATCAGAAAATCGGCTGAATGGATTCGAAAACGGTAAAACTCAAACATTTAACCCTGAGGGAGTTGTAAAATGAGCCTATTTCCCAAAAAAAGTGGAGTATCCCTTTAAACTTATAAGGAAAGTTGGTAATGTTGGAAACTAACTGAAAAAAGTTAACGTTGAAGCACAAAGAATACTGGAAACAAACTAAAACTGGACAAATTTTTTTATTTGGTAAATTAATATATTTGTAAAAAAAAAAAAATAGATTTGGAATATTGTGCACCACAAAACACATCAACCACTTTCATAGTGACTTTTTTTTGTAATTTTCTGAGTTTGTCTCCATTCACTTTTATTGTAAAAGAGAACAAAGCACTCAGGACAAAGTACTAAACTAATTTGATCATATTTTATTGTGCCTTTTTGTCCTTTTTAAAGCTACCCCGCTGCTTGTATTTTATTGCAAGGAAAAG